ACTGTGTGGCATTGAAAAGGCTCAAACATTCATGAGTAAAAGAGCTGTTACAGTACAGCGCATTGATCTGTGAAAGACATTCAATGTTTCAAACACAGCTTGAAACTTTATCAGGTCACAACTGCTCACATGTTCTTTACTTTCTTTGTTAAAATCAAACCTTCACCAAACAAGTGACTACAGGAAACTGCATTCATTACACTTCTTCACTTTAGTGCTTGCTGCAATAAAACTGCTAAGACAACACTTGTAATCTAAAAATCTAAAATTAAAACCCCAGAAAAAGTTAAAATTATATAACAAATATGGCAAACAGCAAAAAAGGATATCAAACAACAACACAGTAATTTATAGTCTGCAAAGTATTTCCAGTCCAGTAATGCAGTAACAGTACACACTAAATAAAGATTGTACTTACCCTCACAAACAACACGCTCTATTAGATTGTAGGGAGTGCAAGGAATTTATATAGATGCCAGTGTTTGCACGCCGGCTGCTCGCTTCCTCCACCTCGCCAAGAGGTTTGGAGTTAGATTGGATAATCCCAAATGATGTTATATGCAGTGATTGGTTGTTTAGTCTGTTTGGTTGCATCGTTATTTTGCATATTTGCCCACTTCTGGTGCACAAAAAGTTCCAGGATGAAGAAAAAAATTCAACACAGAAGAAAAAACAAAAAACTGGAGCCACATCAAAAATGAGTTGATCCCCACAGACTCTCACTTCAACTTCCTGAAAGGACAGTTTTACAGTCTGCTTTTAAAAAAAGGTTTCATTCCTGGTGTGGAGTTTCTCCCTTTATAAACACGGTATGTTGGGTGATAATATTTTCTTTTTCTCCTGTTTAAAAAAAATCTTAACAGGCATGTCTGCTAATCGGAGTCATTAAACTGGACTTTGCATGTTTATGCCACTGATGCAGTGTCACTGTGCAAATTGTTACTGATTTAACGTTATTAGATATATTTGTGGTTTTGTACTCTTTTACCTGAATCCTCATGCAATGAGACAAATGTTTTCAAAAACATCATCACCATTTATTTATATAGCACTTTAAAAACACACCTGGTAGACCAAAGTGCTGTACAATACTAATATGCACATAGTAATAAAACCAGAAATAGCAATAAAAAAATAAAAAAAGTCAGTTACCCACAGAGTTAAAAGCCAGGGAATAAAAATAGTTTTTTTAAATAAAGACTTAAAATTGGCACTGATGTAGCCTGTCTAATATGGAGAGGAAGGTTATTCCAAAGCATCGGCGCTGCAACAGAGAACGTTCGGTCTCCTCCAAGTTTCAGCCGTGACTTTGGGACTGAAAGCAGCAACTGCTCAGCTGACCGAAGGGAACGAGTGGGGACGTGGGGCTTCAACAAGTCAGACAAATAAACAGGTGCCAGACCATTTAGAGATTTAAAAACCAATAAAAGAACTTTAAAACGGGTCCTAAATTCATAATTCGTCACCTATTCGTCATCTTCTTTTATTTTTTTTAATTCACTGTGTTTATGCACTATTCACCTTCCCACTGTTGCCAGATTGCTTGCTCATAGGGGGTCATCTGATTGTTGGGGTTTTCCCTGTTTTTGCTGTATTGTAGGGTATACCAGGGGTCCCCAATCCCAGTCCACGAGGGCCGGTGTCCCTGCAGGTTTTAGATGTGTCCTTGATGCACCACAGCTGATTTAAATGGATAAATTACCTTCTCGACACGTCTTGAAGTTCTCCAGAGGCCTGGTAATGAACTAATCATGTGATTCAGGTGTGTTGACCCTGGGTGAGATCTAAAACCTGCAGGGACACCGGCCCTTGTGGACTGGGATTGGGGACCCCTGGTCTATACCTTAAAACATAGAGCCCCTTGAGACAATTGGAGATTATGGATCGGAATTTCAGGAGCAGGACCACGCCTCCAAACACGCTCCTTCTGGCTTTCATCTGTATAGGTTCTCCCAGTTCTGCAAGCTGTCATTCTCGTTTACATGCACCTCCCTCCCTTCCTTCCTCTTTTCAATTCTGTAACTACTTCACTTCTATTTGATCTGCCAGGGCTGGGATTTAGGTTGGTTAGATGCTGAAAGACCACGTCTTTCATGTGAACATGGAGGGGAAACTCTTGGTATGTTGAACTCTCTTTATATGTTTGTGAAGGTTCTCAGTCATCCAGGTCATCATAGTTAAGGAGCTTAAAAAGAAAAGTGTCTGGATCTTTAAGTCGTTCACACACATGGACCAGAACCTACTCTTTGACTTCCACTACCCTCTGGAACACAAAATTGGAGTAATCAGGACTGTTCCCTCTGGGACTGTGGCAGAAGGGAAAAAGGAAGAACACACACATGTAGGGAAAGCCCGTATATGTCCACCGTGAATGACTATTCTTGAAAAGAGGTGTGCCTTCCGACACCAACTCTCTGCCATCTATAATCCAATTTTGAGAACGGCCCAAATGCCTTAATGCCCACTCACATCCTGGGCCATTTGATCTCAGTAAGTCACTCGATAGGGTGGGGCCATGTTTCACAATGGGTTCACCTGAAACCTTGGCTGATTGTGACCCACACACGTTTTCAAACCTAGGCTCTTGGGATTTGGCAGAGGATCAATAGGGGGTTCAGGACCCTCTTAAGGAAACTCCCAATAGCCCTTAAAAATCTGGGCCTCTGGGATTGCTCTTAGAACTGAATACACTTCTTGGATGAAACGTCTTCAAGAAACTTACAGAAGTCCGGATGCTTTTGTTTCCAAGCTCCTTAAACTGTCTTTGTAGTATAGGGCCCAGGATGGACTATGGCAAAGACATAAATAATGAGGATCATTTGTACATGAATAATGAAAAATGGTTGGTTTTGGTTTTAAAAAGCCTCATCTACAAAAGACTGAAGATGGTTTTAGAAGAAGATGGCTTTAGTTGATCTCTAATAAGAAACAACACATTTACATAAGTACTATGACTCTGACAAGAAATAAAGCAGACTACAGATCATGCACTTCTCAATAAAAGAATGTAATAGCACATTAAGGTAGGTGTCATCAGCATCGATCAACATGCTGCTATTTTTATGAGCACCACACTAATGCTGAAGAACTTTCCATTCTGTAAACCTTAGTGTTTTTACCTTAATGCATTAAGTCATTTAAAAATATCACTTGGAATGTATTAGTTAATTAAAGAGACTCTTAAACTCAGAAGAATGTATTTTGGATCTTATTTTATCAAGGAAAAATCACTGCATTCAACTCGTTTAAATATAGATAATATGATAAATAACTGCACATAAGAAATGTCAGGAAAGAATCTGAAATAAAGTTTTACCATTTTTAAGTCACCAAATATTGGCTTGAAAAATCCTGGCTGGGCTATACTGACATCTTCTGGTGGGCGCTTCTGACTGTTTTAGAGCTCTTGGGTTCCTTCACATTGCTCCTAAAAATGTTTATATTTAAAATATTTTTCTGTATTATTTAGTTATACTTACTCTTTTTGCATTGGTTCTTTTGGTAATATCTACTTCTTATGTTGATGGCTTTTGTTTTGCCTTTTTGTGCAACATTTTCTTCCAACTTTATTAACTTTGCTTTCATTTTGTCCAGTTTTATTTCCGTCCATATTTTCAGCTCTCTGGTTTAATTCTGCAGTTTTTGTTTTTTCGAACACTAAAGTGTCTTATAAAATCGTGTCTTATAAAATCGTGTCTTATAAAATCGTGTCTTATAAAATTGCCATATAGTGAAAGTTACTGTTCGACACATTCAATGTGACATTAGATTAGAAAGATATGCAAACAAAAAAGGACAATAGAATAAGATAAACAAAGACTACTCAATCTCAGTATTTTAAATTAAAAGCGCTGATGGCATTGTTTTTAACTTTTGTTAACATTAGCATTTGGTGAGTAGAACAGATATTTTCTCAGATATCTTCTGAATGCCTTGTCTCGTATCCCATAAACAAGTGGACTAACAAGTCGAGGCAGAACGTGAACGAATACTGAGATTGTGTAGCGGATAGTCAGGACTCCTTTTGGGAACAACTTTGTCAAACCATTCAGCAGCAAATCATACACGTAGGTGAGCATGCACAGCAGCAGCTGGAAGCCGTGCAGCAGTACAGTGTTTCTTGCTTTCCTGGCGTTTGCAGCAGCTGCCTGTGCAGCGAAAAGGATTCTGAAATATGTGTAGATAAGGGTGAGCCAAACAATAACCAGAAATACAATGTTGGATATAGTTCTCTTCTTTTCTAATTCAGGAAGTCTGAAAACAGTTTCTCTAAGGCAGAAGACTCTTGAATGAAAGAAATCTCTGGATTCTGTGGCCAAGATGGTGAATAAATCTGGCAGAATTGTAAGTGAACTTAGCACCCATATCACTGTGATCACAACGGTTACATTTTTGACTGTACAGATCTGTGAGTGCTGGAGAGGGAAGCATATGGCAACATGACACTCTACTGCCATCACAGCGAGGGTCATTGGAGTGTTAAGGCTGCAAATTATGGAAATCAACAATAAAATGATGCAAAATGGGACAGGAAGAGTGAAAATGATGTAGCTGAGGACTTGAAGGAGGGTGAATATTATGAGCAGCAGGATATCAATGATTACCAGATGAATGTACAGGATGTAACGAGGATTTGTGTTGAAAACCTGAAGAGAAGGACAGGATAGTTTAGACTTATAGGTACATTACAGATGATCACCTAAGAATATGCATGAAATAAATCACATTATACAATGTCCTGCATACATCCCAAACGTATTGAATTATACAAAATTAATATCAGGAATGAATAAAATACAGACCTCATGTTTTTTGAATGTGTGCACCAAGCTGCTGTTGATATAGATGATGGAGGCAGAGAGACCCACGGTAATCAGATTCTTGATGATGGCTGTGCTTAAGGAGTCCCGATACACCGCTGTTGTCGAATTCATACCAGCATTTGAACGGTTCTTGAGACGTCTGAAAAGTTTTCTAAAAACTGGACACTTTATTCATCAGCATTTCAGGTTCATATAACATAAAACATTAATATAGGAAAGCTTCAATACTGAAGGCTGATTATCTTGGAAACATTATTCTCAATAAGAAAAATAGCAAATAGAAGCCAGAAGAGTAAATAAATATACATATATGTATTCATTATATGCTTTTGTTTTTTCTTGTAAGCCCAATCATAATGATAATGATGATGATCCTTCTGCTATATGTTTAATTTTTATGCACAATGTCATTTTTTAACCTACCAATCTGTTGCCAAGGAAAGAAAAACAGCAAATAGTAAAACAACGGTTCGTAAGGCACACATATTATTTATACTGTAACACTTGATAACATTTAAAAAAACATCAAGTGAACACAATGATGAAAAAGATCGTTATGATGTGATATCGTTTTATCTCTTTACACACAAACAATTTAAGAACAGGCACTCACCTGGTTATGATCTCATACCACACAGGTCTGGTAAGTCAGGTAGATTGTCACTTCTAATATAGAGTACTGGTACTAGTCAGGTAATAGTGAAGGGGTCTGGTTGTGTGTGTGCATGTGCACGTGGTTTCATGAGAGCCTTCAGAGTGCGTGTGCCTTAGAGGACACCCAAAGCTCATTACGTTTCATAAGTCCTGATGCTTACACAGTACTGAACAAACCAATTTAGATGAATGAAATCTTAAATAAAATTCTACTACAGCTCTTTACAATCCACTTCTTTTGCCAGATACTTTTTTTCAGTTGTGACTGATGACCTAAGGAGGGTATAATGAAAGCGAACCTGAACTTTCAATCGTTTTCATGGCATGAAAGACAAAATTTCAACAACACCATGGTGGTTGCTGGTTTACTTGTGGTTCCTGGAGTATTTTAACCTCCACGGCATGCATTTTTAATTTCTCTTTGATATTTGGGCTGATTGGGGCCGGAGAAATGTAAAAACAAAGAATTACCAGCTTTATTTTTTTTTTTACCTTATTTTTGTTTTTAAGAAAAAATCTGAGCCACATCTGAGGATATTCGTTTAAATTTTTGATAGAACAGTAGCAGTATAATGTCCTGGATATCAGGCCCTTGCAGAGCAAAATTGAGTATTTTGGTCTAAATAACCCAAAATGTGATGTCCACATATGTGGACGGAGGTAGAAAGTAAAATGGGAGGCAGAGCCTTCAGCTTTCAGGCCCCTCTTCTGTGGAACCAGCTTCCAGTTGGGATTCAGGAGACAGAGACCCACTCCTGACGTTATTCATCAGCATGTCACTTCTCAGGGAATATATAACAGAGAAAACTTTAATACTGACATTGTTTGTCCTCTCATAAATATTATTATCACAAAACAATCTATGGCTTTTAAATCAATTTACAAATATAATTTTGATAATATGTTTATTACATAGTTTTGTCTTACATTGTAAAGCCTACCATAAACTAGTTTTCTCATTTTCTGGTGATTGATGATGACCATTATTTTAAATGCATCACACTTCTTATGGACCATGTCCATCCATCCTCTCATCCTATTCAGGGTCATGGGGCGTTGGAGCCTGTCCCAGCTCTCTTCAGGGCAGGGTACACCCTGAACAGGCCACCAGTCTGTTACAGGGCTAACATGCAGAGACAGACAACACTCACATTAGTGCAAAAGGTTGCCCTATTTCCAATTTCGAATCAATTAACACTAAAACAGGGACACACAGGGAAAACATGAAAACTCCACACAGATGTTAGAATTGAACTCAGGACTTTCTTGATGTGAGGTAACGATGCTAACCACTAAACTACCATGCTGCCATGTGCTGCCACCATGCTACCGTATCATTTTTTAAAACTTACTCATTTATTGGCGTAGGGGAAAACAAAGGGAGAAAAATGGTACACCATAGAAAAAAATAATTTATTCAAATCAGCATTTTTGAATTCAGCTAAAGTACTAACAGCACACTAAATTGAAGCTGCTAATTTAACCTTGGTCTTCAGTTGTTATTTTCAACATGTCTGCTGTGAGAAACAACTTCTATTCTCGCTCAAGCTCGATTTGTAAGTGATTTTATATGCATACATTTTTTAAGTTCACACATATAACTCTCATTTCATAAGAGTAAATAGAAGAAGATCTAGACAATGTTCATTTCTAAACATGAAGTTATAACTGAAGTAATATTTGATATACAGGCAAAATATTATATTATGAATTTATATGCAAGAAAACGCAGAAGAGGCACTCACGTGGTTACCGTCTCACATGTCAAACATCTGTCTAGCAGGTCAGCTACTAATACAGAGTGGTCAAGTAATAGCAAAGGCCTTTGTGTGTGTGAGAAAGTTTGGTGAGAGTGTGGTTTAGTGAAGGCCTCAAACTGTTGCCCCATTATGTTAGGTGTGACTCATGAACGCGTTTAGATAAAACTTAGCAACTTAACAAATTCACAAATGTGAATGAAAACATTTTAAATACTGCTTCAGCTCTTTAGAATCCACTTTTTAGCGTTAGGGTTAAGGTTAGCATATTTTACTGGTGTTTACTAGTAAGATTTTTTTCTAATATTTAAATTTGTGATCGTGCTGGAGGTATTAAAGAGATTCTGTTGCAGTGGTTTGAATCCTGTCTATCTCATAGAGTCCAATTTGTTCATGTATTTGCAGACTCCACTTCATACACTTAGGTTGATTATGGAGTTCCACAGGGTTCTGTGCTAGGACTAGTTCTGTTTACTTTATACATGATTATTTTAGGCAATGTCATTACAGGGCGTAACATCTATTTTCACTGCTATGCAGTTCATCTATGCATGAAGCCAGATAACGCACACCAATTGGTTAAACCTAAGGAATGGCTTAAAGACAAAATGACATGGATGGCCTCTCATTTTTTACTTCTAAATTCAGATGAAACTGGAATTATTGTACTCAGGCCTAAAAATCTTGGAAATATGGTATCTAACCAGATATCTACTCTGGATGGCATTACCTTGGTCTCCAGAGACACTGTGAGGAACTTTGGAGTCATTTTTGACCACGAAATGTCCTTCAATGCACATATTAAACAATGTGTACCATCCCTTCCTGAGCCTGGTTCTGCTGGAGGTTTCTTCCTGTTGCTAGCTCATAGGGGGTCATATGATTTGTGGGGTTTGCTCTGTTGTCTTTTTATTATTGTAGAGCAGGGGTGTCAAACTCAAATACACAGTGGGCCAAAATTCAAAACTGGAACAAAGTCGCGGGCTAACTTTAATATTTATTGAAAAAAAAAATCTTCCTCCAGATATAAGAATGAATCTTTTCTTATGGACTCAAATAAGTTTTGCTGGAAAACTGAATATGGAACAAGCAAAGCTTAATACTAAAAAATATATATATTAGCTGTATAATACCAGTAGGCCAGCTCTAATAGTAATTCGGTATGGCTTCACGGCCAAATGTAATTAGGCTGCGGGCCAAATTTGGCCCACGGGCCAGAGTTTGACACCTATGTTGTAGAGTGTTTACATTAGAATTCAAAGCACCTTGAGGCAAAATTGAATTGAATTAAATGCACGCAAAAGGGGGCAAACTATTTTTCACACCACTGCAATTATCAGTTAACATAAGGGTCATTCCATTTCAAATCATCAAATTTTCAGAACAATTTCTGCACAATCATTTCTGATGGGTTTAAAAAAATTACATTCAAAATTTTGGACATATGCAATATCCATCCATCCATCCATTTTCATCCGCTTTGTCCGGGGCCGGGTCGCGGGGGCAGCAGCCTAAGCAAAGAGGCCCAGACCTCCCTCTCCCCAGCCACCTCCTCCAGCTTATCCGGGGGAATACCAAGGCGTTCCCAGGCCAGCCGAGAG